ACTTTTTTTGTTCATAATTTTTTTATAAACAATGAGCGACGGATAAAACCTTCATATTATTATTCAGAGAGGTGACCTTGATAACATATGTCAAAATTGTTGAGATCGGAAAATAGTCCGTATAACTGCATAATTACCACTCTTTCTTATATCATACCTTACCACGGAATCCATGTGGCCACAATTTTCAATCCCAATTTTCTTAGTTATGACGTTAAAAGTGCGTAATTTAAACGTGATTGCAATGTAAAACTGGAAAGAAATATAAATCGACTTCAATCAAGTAAACTTTGCGCCATTTACTTAAAACCATTAACGCGTGTAGATGGTTTTTGAACTTATTTTAGACATGTTAGTCAATATAAGATGTATGTGCCGCACATTTGAAAAAAAAATAAATTTTTATAAAAGTTAAACCGGTGAATTTGCCTATACATGTATATGTAAGTTCACATTCTAATAAAACATAAAATTTAAAGTCATATGATATAAGAAACATTCTAACTGCTATTTATATTTAAAAAAGTCAAAAGCACTATTAGTACTTTTATATACTGTGTGTTTGTAAACCATATTCAGTATACTATATTTTATATCACTTTATGTATCGATTGTCGTAAAATTGAACACGACTTGAAAAGAACAACGCAAAACTTGAGAAAAGCTTCTTCGAAAATTTCAATTTTTTGTCGTTTTGCAGACAGCCGTAAACCTACATTTCACCGATTAACGACATCATCAATCTTAAGAAATAAGCGTAATATATGTGATTGTAACCTGAAATAGAAGTTTTATGCTAGTGTATCACTTGTCAGCACTTACATGTCAATATTGCAGGTGCCGATTATTCCGGCAAAGAATGTAAAAGCTATAAAGTAACGGACAGGCGAAATTTTAAAAATCATCGAAACATATTTGTGCGATTTTCACAATATACTTTGTTACGTTCTGGGGACTCCACGGTCCCCTTTTTCTTGCAACGCGACGCGCCTACATATAATAAACAAGTAACAAAAAGCAATAGATAACTCGAACGGATCTTCTATCGTTTCGAAACTTAGACTCCGAAACGATAAGATAGAGGAGCAAACGGAAATCATATCAGCGCCCGAAAGGATAAACCGCGCCTAGTAATAACCAAAAAAATTCTTTTCTCTTGATAACGAGCAGGAAGAATTTATTGCTTTTCCAAACAAACTCAGATATCTCCGGGTCAAGAAGAACACCGCTTATAAAATTTAGAGCAGCCGGCGCAAATAGAAACTCCGGCGCCACGAACAATTTTATTACAAACAAATAGCAAAGGATCTACGTGGCGTTATAAAAAAAACAACACTTTCTCTTTTCCCTTCCCCGGAAAATTAGACGAGCCGACCAAGGCGAGAGGTCGCCGCCGATTGGCAATCTCATAAGTTTACCCTGACTAACTAATTAACAAATAGGAACCAGCAGGGCCCAACCGAGTTTTCCGAGAGTCATATACAATTTTGAGTAAGAGTCCTCGCTTACTCAAAATTGTATATAAGCCGGGACTCTCGGGATCGGAGTCAGATAGAGCCGCAGATTTTAGAAGTACCACAGCGAGTTCTCTCAAAGAGTAAGTGAGTGACAGTGAGTGCAGAAAGTGAGATCCCAGAGTGAACTACTGTGCCGCAACGGCCCAGAACCTTTTATTAAGCCCGTTCTACATTGATCGTAAGCGCAAACGCAAGGTATAGATCTCGTAGAATTGACCAATCACGCTGGTCAATTGGCTGATTTGATCAATACGATTAGTCAATTCTACCAGACCTGTTCCTTGCGTTTGCGCTTGCGATCAATATAGAACAGGCTTTAATCAACATCACTGGTCCGCAGCAAATAGTAAGTCCACATTGTAATTATTTTCATTCGGAGGTTCTACTTTTTGCGAAATTAACGTCTGACTTCGTGACTGATTTTCGGAGAAATCGAGAAAACGATTAAAATAAACAAATAGATAGACACACTCAAAAATTTGGTTTAATTGGAAGGGCTACTCGCGGTGTGTAACCGTCTCGGGTGGCGTCCGAACTATTTCTTTTTCCTCCCTAAATCACGGAAACAAAGCCCGCTTATCTCCGAATATCAGTCGTAGAACCATGACACATTCAAATTTATTTCTATCATTAAATCTATCGGAACCTAAGAAATGAAACAAAACCAAATTTGTCAATTGACATAAGGAAATACATTTCTAAGATGATCTAAGTTGCGTTAACATGGGTCAAAGAGGCTGGCTGCACTAAACAACTCGTATTCCCCTTCTCTCTCACACTTGCACCCTAGCTTATAGATTACTTTGTACGAAACGATTATGCGCTCAGTCATTGTATTAGTTTCACCATCTGTATGTTAGTAATTTGCTAAGATTTTGATTTTTCTTTTTTTTTAATAAATATAACTACTTTATAATGTGTGGAATCAAACTAAAGAGTTATTTTTTGTTATCCTTCTCTCCGTACAACCCACTCACACTTCCTCATTAAAATCGCTAGGTCCCGTCTTTGGTAAATGAGATTTGCGTCTCAGACCTAAAAAGGGACCAACGAGCGAGTGTTCGCTAGACAGAGTAAGATCGGCGTACGCCGTTGACCTGTCGACGAATATAAACAAACTCGCTCGACTCTCTCACAGCGTGTCCACTGTAAAGAGAGATATGAAAAACGACGCGTTTACTGTTGCGTTTCACCATAGCCCGACCGTATCCATGGGCCATGACGTAACATCACATAACACGTAATATTACTACAATATCACTGTAATATTGTTTTTCCATTGCAATATTACATTCTAATATAGTAGAAATATTACCGTAATGTTAATGTAATATCACAGTATAATATTAAAATGTCCGCCGAAATGCACCACAGTAATATTACGGTGATTACTAAAAAAAAAAGCAATGGCACATTGCCTTATAAGAAAGGAAACTTAATTCGAAATTTCACTCGAAATAATATCTCTTTAGGTGCCTGATTCAGTTTGCCGATTAACTGATTAACTCGATGAAAAGTATCGGAACCCGGAAAAAATCCTGAGATGGATGGTAGGATTCGAACTCGAGACCTCCATATTCGCAGCCGCTGTACTCAGTCCGCGAGAGTACTTGTTCCTTAATAACAATAAAATGTAATTATGGTTATCTACTTATTCTCAAGCTATTCTACGCATTTCATTGATTATTTAATTGAAGTATTAGCTTATTAAAAATATTGGAGTGCAATCCAAGCAAACACAAAGTAACAGTAACGTAACATTAATGTTATACTTTCCCACTCAACAATGTAACTGCTACGTACAAGCCATGTTACATTGCAGTTACATCGTTGAGTAGGAAATTATAACATTACTGTTACGTTACTGTTACTTTGTGTTTGCTGAAATATATCTGCAACAATATATCATTATAAAAATATTTCTCTTTTTTATAATATTATTAAATATTATTTAAAGTACATTTTTACAACGCAAACAAAGTTTTTGGTAACACCCTTACAAAAAAGAACTATTGCCGATTACATATAAATAAAGTCAATAATAGAAATATAAATTGTCAATAATATACACAGTTTGTCCGGAAAGTTCCCGGACT